ACTGCATTATCCTGGACCTGCCAAATATATTTATTTGAACCAGAGGGTATCCAAGGCATTTGCAGATGTGAATGCATTCAGCAAGGCTTGTTAACAGCAGATGGATAAATTCACTGAAAGGCCTTGCCAATTTCCCTGCTGCAGCAAATAATAGTAATAATAATAATGCATTATTAAAAACATACATATAGCCTCAGTGAACATAAAAGAGAGTGAAAATATAAGGGCCCATATAGTAATCAATCCAATCCATGTTCGAAGATTATGAGTTAATGCAAATTGATTAATTATCATAGCTGTATAAATATTGGTTACCCTTTGTAGTGACTTTGAATTAATTCTGCATATCCCTAAAATGATTTCCTTCTAACTTTGAACCAAAAGTTTCAAGGTTTTCAGCTAGCATGACTAAAATTGGATCGGACTATGAAGTGTGAAGGGGTGATAAGCAAAATGCAAGCTGTGGGAGCTATGTTTCAGGGTCAAACTACAATTTGTTTTATTTGCATAGCTTTTATAGTCTGGAGCAGAGGTGTCAAACTCGATTTCATTGAGGGCTGCATCAGGGTTGTGTTTGACCTTGGGGGAGCAGGGGGCAAGGCCAGGGTAGGCGTGGCCTGCTCAATGTCACTCATGTCGGGGTGCCTGTGGAGGCCCGAGCGCTCTGCCAGTTAAAACAGGCTCCTGCAACCCTCTGCCAGTGAAAATGCACGCAGCCCTTCCAAGCTCCGTTTTCACTGGCAGAGGCATTGCGGGCTGGTCCTTCAATGTTTCCAGGGCAGCCCTGCGGCCAAATCTAAACACCCTGCATACTGGATCTGGGCCCCAGGCCTTGAGTTTGACACCCCTGGTCTGGAGTATACTCTCTCCCCCCACCCTCATTCTCATAGACCCAAATGACTGTTGTTAGGATGGTTTTAATAATAGGCTAGCTCTAGTGCAACATTGGCAATGTCAATATATTCCTTCTAAGACTTTGGATAGCCTCTGTGGTTGGAGGACAGAACTGTGTAAGAGTTAGACACTTGTCCTAAGTCAGTCTGCTGATTTCAGGTGAAATAATGGACTTCATTCCACAAGCAATGTTTAAGTAAAATTTATCCCAATCCAGCAATAGTTTCTATGTATGAGTATGTTCTTATCCTTTGGTTCAGAGAGTAGGCTTAGTATCGATTTTGCATATTTTCCATATAAAACTTTCTGATCTTGTAGTTCAACTGTCCTCTGGATAACCTTCAAACCACGCTGTGCTACAACCATGGTTCCTGCTACTTCTACTTATCTATCAGAACTACATGTTAATTTAAAAATAGCTGCCAAGACTGCCTGACCATAGAAGGTACCATGAAGGAAGAAAGCACAAACCTGTTTTAGGAAGGCCATAGCTACACATATCCTCATGCCCCGATGGCCCTTTATTTATTTATTTTTAAAAAACACATCCATGCCATAGCTTTCAGTTAACACTAGTTTCATGTTATTCCACAATCTATCATATCATTTGTAAGATAATAATTTATTTCATCATGACAAATGCTAGACATGTAAAGCCCTCCCCCGCCCAAAAGCAAAGACAGCAGTAAGCCTCAACTGCAGAATGCTTAACACTTAGCAATTTTAGCTGTAACTGAGACCTAACCAGAGCCTCTGGACTGCAGCCCCTGGCTTCCTCTTTGTGCACATTAAAATGTTTACATATAAAGGACAGCATCTTGATTGTTTGTATTTAACTGTTATGTAGGTAAGATTTTCCATTATGGAAGGGTTAAGCCTTATGCTCCTCTAGGGTATACTCATAATGATGGTGATTGCCAAGACTGGATCCAGCTGTAGAAACACCATTATCCAAAGGAATGCTCTTGAAAGTGGTTTGGCCCAAATTCAACATAGGTAACATTTGAAAATCTACTCATTCTTAAATGAAATCTAATTGTTCTTAAATTAAAACAATAACCACCACCAAAAGATTGAAAGCATATAAAAGGATGATGTGAACCAAACTACCTAACCTCAAGAGGACATCTAGTTCTTAGACATCAAACATCTTCAAGACTTGTATATAACAGATGCGTAACTTCATATAAAATATTTGAAAATTCTATTATTTTAATAAACTTAAAACAATGATACAAAGTATTCCATTATAAGAAGCTAATAGGAAAAGGGTCTCAAGATGTGTGCAACAAACCACATTATTGCAAACAATTTCAATAAAGCGAAAAATGGAGTTACCAGACAAAGTCAGTAAGTAAAGTAAAAAGTAGGTAAGCAGGTGCCATCCAAAATTCTATTAGGGACTTCAAAATCCAGTATTTCCATGCTTTGAAATGGCCTTTGCTTGTGAGAAGATCGCAAAAGGTGACCACATGCCCTTGGGACACAGCACGGTTATAAATATGAACCAAGCATCTGAATTTTAATTGCATGATCATGGGGATACTGCAAAGATCGTAACTGTGAAAAATGGTCATAAGTCTCATTTTTCAGTGCTGTTGTAACTTTGAATAGTCACTAAATGAACTGTTGTAAATAAAGGATTATCTGTACACAGTAGGTTCCCCTGTATCACTGCTTGCCCTTCGGACAAAATGTCTTTCTCAGAGAGCAGAAATTTCTACAGCTAAGGAAACAAGTGGGTCCAAAGTGACTGCAGAATTTTTGGGATGAACAGATTTATCTTTCAGGTAGCTTTTAGAATGTTGAGATTGCAGATACCAGGAAAAGGAAGAAAATGTACAAGAGAAAGGGCTGCAAAGATAAAAGGAAAGAACAAGAACTAGAGAACCAGTTGTTATTGATTGACAACAGCTACAAAAAGAGGCAGAAGCACAAAGCTCTTGAAATTGTCCAAGGAGCAGCGATGTGAAAGGAGAAACTAAACTGGAGACCATGGAAGAGCTTAAGAAAGAAACAGTGATGGAAGAAAATCAGGATGCCATGGTGTTGGGGTCTGCAAAATAAGATGTCCTCAGAACTGAACTGCCAAAGCCCAGGGGGCACCATCCAAGGTTCTACTGTCCTCCAGTGGCCAAACTCAGGACAACCAAGATGATAATTTGTCTCAGGCTGTTAAGACAGTTTGTCTCAAAACATTCTCAAAAACTGAAGGATCCTTTATATGCCATTAAGTTCTTCATAGGTCTGGGATCCAGTTTCAGGAACCACATCCATCTTAGTTCAGGAGGATGAGAGGAAAGAACATGCCAGTGACACAATTCCCCTTTAAAATGCAGCCCTTCCTGGAGCCTTCGATAAAAACATTTCATTATATTCTTTAAATGTAAGTATTAACACCGAATCAGACTTCACTGTTCAACTGTAAGCAATAAATGTATGTAAGCAATAAATCCCAACAGTTCCTATACAGTTCATATTTCCATTATTGTTTATGTCAGCATTCTTCTAAAGGTGCCGGATAGTGTTCCACTAATATTTTCAAAGTCACATCTTCTCTCAAAATATAACTGAAGATTGCTGACCCTCTTTTAAACAGAAAGTTGATAAACTGAAGGATATGGATGTTATGAGGCGGTTTACAGGCAGGGTAAATCAGTTACTAGTGATTTGGAAGATGCATCAAATACATCAAATACAGATGCAGCATGGACAAAAAGAATATGAACATTATGTATTGTAGTTGATGATTATATGGCTTGAATTCTGCTGAAACTGCAGAATCTCATTTCTAGACTTCACAGTATGGACATGGTGTTTGGATTAAGTGTTGTAAAGCTAAGAGGATAAGAGAGACTGTTTTAAAGGCCCCACTACTCATTTAATTAATATTCACTTAAGTTAACTAGTTCAGCATAAACTGTTCTTTCATGATTTTTTCCTTAAAAACATTCACAGAATAATCTCCTGGTGGATTTATTTCTATTAATCTATTGGACCTGCTAAAAATGATTGGTTATAATTGATGAAAAATGATCTAGAAATGAAAGTTTGTATATTCCTATAATCTAAAGCTTTAATTATGAGGCTGTGATAGATTCAAGTGAAAAGAATTTTGCTGATCCAGGATAACTTTAGAGACACTCCATCAAATGTTTTCATGCTTATTTGCTGACCAATCCAAACAACTTTATTAACAGGAATTTGCTTTAATGAGAACTATACAGAGACACAATGGGAAGAAATGAAAAAGAGCACTGATGTTTATATTATTTGTTTTGGGGGAATTTGCATAGAATTTTAATATATCTGTATACTGATTTACAATAATGTACTGTTTAATAGCAGAGGTCGGGAAGAGAAGGTAAAGATGAGAACAGGGTTTCAGGGAAGAATGTATACAGGTAGCCCTGAATTGTAGGGATAGTATCAGGAAAGCTAAAGTTCAAAATAACCCAAACTTAAGGGTAATTAAGAACAGCAAAAAGATCATGATCTTCTAAAAAAAATGATTTAAAAAAATCGGTGAAGATGGAAAAATTAGAAAGCCAGTTATTTTTGTTCATTGTTCTTCAGCAAGAGTTGTGTCCAGAAAAAGGAAGGAAGGAAGGATGGATGGAAGGAAAGAAAGAAAGAAAGAATGAATTACTAAGACTGAAGGGGCAATGATTGAAGCTAGGAATGGAAACAGTAGGCATTTTATGGAAAATCTTTTTCCCACATATTATAAGATATTAATTTCTCTTCATTAGCAGTGGGGTGTTAAACATTATCCGTCTCAGGTTCAATCCCCCAAATCTCTAGGAAAGAAATTCTTGCCTGAAATACTGACAAGTCAAGACCAATCACTGTTGTACAAAAAGTTTTCCATCTGCTTTCCTCCAGATAGCAGCTTTGTTCATCTCACGCTAGCATTGCCATTGATATTACTGCATGAGTTTCAGCTCTAGCGGGACAATGTTAAGCTAATACCCCAATGATAAGTTTTGATGGCTTCCTATATTTTTGCTACTGTAAGTGGCTAATCAAAACCCAATAGTTTACAAAATGTACTAGAAATATTTGGAATTATTGCCAGTACTGTATTAATAATATTAACAACATGATTCATTTTAGTGATTGTTTTATTATATTTTATTGTTGACATCTTACAACTTTTTTTCCTGTTACTTCTTTTTTATACATCACACTGAATATCTGAATTAAAAAAAATAGCTTGTAAATATTTTCAGTACATAAAATCAAATGCCTCACCACATACTTCCATGTCAATAAGCATAACATTTTTTGCAGATGTATGATTTGTAACCAGCTGATGATACAATGTGCATACTGTATTTTAGACATGGCTGGACCATATATATACCCATAAGTGGTCATCTGCCCATAAGTGGTCATTTGGATTTTTATAGCCCAGATATAGCCTATCATATATTTTAGGATTCCCCCCCCCCCCATTTCTACATATTCTCCAAACCTTTGCATGATATCTCCTTCTGAGCAAAAAGTATTGAATGATACCTGACATCTATGTTATACTAACTTTCTGTGTTTAATGAAAAAATGCTGCATAGCAACAAAGATTAGATAAAGTCTGCCAGAGATACTTCAAGAGAGATAAAGTAGTTTGCTTAATACTGAAATATTTAAGTATGCAGAAAAATACTGTCCATCCTCCAAGGTCTTTTGATAGTAGGTACTGACAGACCATTACAACGTTACATTACATTTCAGAGTTACATATTGTTAATGCTACTTTCCCTTAATTGTTGACCTAGACCTGATTGCTACAGGTTCCATACATCTGCGAAAGATTATTGTAAAACAGAATAAAATAAGTAATTGTAATCATGTTGGCCAAGGGAAAAATCCAATATCATGCAGGAAATTTTCTATTAAGCCAATTTAAATTTTATTTTAAAAGATGTATGCTGCATGGCACTTCTTGGGACAATAATAAAATGTAAGGCTATATTTCTCTAAATGTCCTTTGATAGAATTCAGTTTTGCATACTGGGATACACTGCCACTTGTACTGTAGAAGGGCAATTTCCTTTGCATCCAGTGAATCCAGCATAAAATACAAGAATCTGTATTCTGTATAACCACTTGACTGTTTAAAAATCTGCATGTGGAAGAGACATCCACAAGCCTCTTGGTTTGGTCCCTTAAGGAGATTGGGAAGCATGGAGCTCATCCAGTCATTCTTGTAATGGGTTAAGCATCTTAACTATGACAGTGCTAGAAAATCTGTTCATATTCCTTTGGTGTAAAGTTAATTATCCTGAAAAAAAAAATCCTTGAAGGGAAAATCTGTAAGAATTTATGAGCCAAATGTAGTAACTCCTTTTTGCTAAATTAATTTCCCTTATTACGTTTTTGTCTTTGGTGCCAACTTTTCAAACCAGCATTTTAAAGACAGAATCCAACCACTTCTCTGTAACTATTTTGCAAGAGTGAAATATCATATATTGGCAGCCAATGGAATGAAATGGATGTTAGTGTTTTTATTCTATTAATAATACATTCAACTCGAGCTAAAAGCTAAGCTACAGGTTTGTAAGCAATAATGAATAAATGCATGCCACATTTTTATCACCAAACCAGAACAATGCGTGGCAGATTATGGAACCCAAATTAAGTTGCAATTGTTTCTCACTTTGGAAGTCGAATAATTATCCTACAGTTATTATTTTCCTGACAACGACAAATAAAGCAAATGGCAGTCCTCATCAATGGAATGTGCAACTAGTAGCTTGCTTCAAATGCAGCATATTCTCTTAGGTGGATTGAGGAGGAGATCAAGTGTGGGGATTCTGCAGAAATAGAAGAAGAAACATCACCAAAAAGCACATTTTATATGCATAGTAATAATGCTCCACCTTGGACTACAGGGACACATCAATTACTCTTAAAACAGAATTGAACAAATATAAGCATATGCACACTACGAATACCAAGATTAAATTAAGTTATTGATAATTAACAAGAGAAAACATTTTCAAGCCGTGGTAATAGTGCAACATTCTTCAGACCATTAAGAATGGCTACTGTCTATGAAAACAAGCAAAAGATGGTCATATTTAATGTGTGTAAACTTTAAAGATGTAATCCACAATCTAGAATGAAATCTTGCATTCACTAATTGTTTAAAGCTGTCTTCTCTAACCCAGTCACCTCCAAACTCCAGAGGTGGTATTCAGCAGGTTCTGACCAGTTCTGGAGAACCGGTAGCGGAAATTTTGAGTAGTGCGGAGAACTGGTAAATACCACCCCTGCTGCCATCTATTCTCTGCCTCCCGAGTCCCAGCTGATTGGGAGCAAATGAGGATTTTGCAGTAACCTTCCCCTGGAGTGGGGAGGGAATGGAGATTTTACAGTATCCTTCCCCTGCATGCCCACCAAGCCATGCCATGGCCACCAAGCCATGCCCATAGAACCAGTAGTAAAATTCCCATCACTGCTGCAGTCCCAACTTATCTGCAGTGTTTCAGCTTGAAAATATTGGTTTGGAGTGCTGATTATAGACACAGATTTTGAGGCAGATCTTAAACCCTCCTGTCTGGAAAGGATGAATTTGTGCATGCATTGGGTTGAAGAGTATCTAGAGGGAAAGGGTTGTACACTGAACAAGATATCCTCTGTGGGTGGGAAGGATTCTATGAATACAGAAAACTTTATGTGAATAAGTGAATAAGGATACATGCAGATTTCTAAACACCAATTACTGTACTGAACACATACATTTAACAGCCTGATTGCTGCCAAGATGAACCTTCTACAAGGTTCTGAAGTTTTCCAAATTTACTAATTTTTAATTCCCACAATCAATTGAATGAGGCAGCATAGGAACAAATGTATGGAAGACACCAGATACAGACAGTCTGAATGAAAATAAAACCTGTTTAAAAAGGATAAAACGCACCTCTGGCTCTTTTTCATTGTGCAGGGACTTAGTATAGGCATCAGATTTATGGAAGAAGTGCTTAACTACCATTGAAAAGACTTTGAAGAGTAAAATAGCCCCAAACACTGAGAGGGAAATGATGAGGATGATCTGCATGAACAGAGAAGTGAAATATCATCAAACATACTGGATAAAAGAACATGTTTTAAGCAAGGCGTAAAAGGGAATTTCCCTTTTATTGCAAAAAAGGAAATCAGCACTGCTAGAAAGAGAAGATCAAAGTATGGACAAAAGTTATCAGGCTGGTTTCCCCAATCTGATGCCTTTGCAAACTTTGGAACAATCTGCAGGCTCAGAATTCTGCATGTTCAAGGGCATCAGATTAGGAAAGGATGAAGAAAATGACAGTTTTCCTAGCAGAGTGAAACAATCCAAAACAAAAACATAAGATGAATCCCCCAGTGCATGTACTTGCTTTTCTAGAGAAGTTAACTCTCATGCATCAACATCTGTTGTTTTAACTACAAGATCTACATGAGAAACACCACAGTAGACACTCTTGCCTCAATGTCATAGTGCCAATTTCCTTGTGATTATATTTTCAGCCTCTTTTAGTTTCCTTGACAGTTGGAATCAGTCAAAATTCCTAGTTCTATACATTGAGGAAAGAAGACAGAGAAAACTGATGTAAGAGATAGTCTGATATTTGGTATAGGCATCAGGTTTATGGATGAAGTGTTTAACTAACATTGAAAAGACTTTGAAGAGTAAAATAGCTCCAAGCACTGAGAGGAAAATGATGAGGATTACCTTAGTGGTGGTATTATTTCTTTCCACAAACTTGCAATCACACAGCAAGCAATATGCCTCAACCTCATGTCTTGGCACTGGCATCGGGTCCACTGTATACAGGCAATTACTGCAATTGTGAGAAACCAGAAGCAACAACAACCATCAAAAATCTATCCCATGGAAGTCCACCTGCTCCAGAGGGTATTGAGTTTAATGTAACATTTAGCTGGACATATTGACTGTTTATGGATGATCATATATGGTTTAATAAGCAAAGATACACATGAACCCTTTATCCAAGCATTCACCTTTATTTTCTCCACTCATTACATCAATTAAACATATTTAATCAAATCTGGAAAATTTTGATTAACCAGTTCTTATCAAATTATGGTCTTAACCCATGGTCTCAAGTTGATTTAAGAGATTAATTTGCTCCAAATTATAATTAGATTCTAAGTTTAAACAAAAAAGAAAACATTGTTAATTGAAAAATTCTACATTTAATTGCTGTGTGTAATGAATAAAAGGAGAGAATCTATCCATTTTAAAAATTTCATGTACCTCTTGGCTTTTTTTGGACTGTTTAATTTTAGGCCAATATCTAGAGCAAGAATATTTAATTCAGTCACTTTTCATATCAAAATGTTTCTGCACCTATTTTTTCAATATGACTTAATAATTCTTACATAACAACTTCAAAGCATTCCCAGAACTGCAGAATTTCATCTTCCAGCAGCTAACATAGCTAACAAAGACACTGGCATTCAGCGGTTGATTCCTACCTAAAACATTACGATTTCCATCAAAGCTTTGAAAATGTTGTTAGGGAGACAACAGAAAGTAATTACAGATGTAAAAAATGTGGCCTTTTCTAGAATATTTCTCTTCATCTGAGTCATTCATGATTGGAGTAGCCTATAAATCCAGTAAATGAAAAATAAAATAAAATATCAAACATGAATCTAATAGCTCTTGGAAAAACCCTAATTTTGGAACTATTATTCCCTTGATCAAAATGACCAGACATAAATAGATAAAATGCACATGATGAAAGTATCCAATGTAAACAGACATAAAGTGCGAGTCTTTAGTTCATTTCACTGAACTGACTTCCTATATTGAAGAGCTGTTTTAAAATTAGCTTTTTAGAACAATCCCATCTTGCAGACAGTCTATGACATTTGAAATTTGTCTCACCAATCATCCTGAAATAGTTGTTTCCAGAAAATGAATTTACTTAAATTCTGATATGGTGGGCAGACACAGTAGCAGCCATTGGCCATAAATTGCTATAGAAGAAAAATAAGAGAAGCAGTGTGTGACCAATTGTTTTGCCCCATTGCAAAGTAAAGTAATTAAACATTCTCCCGTTACTTCATACCCTGCCGGAGAATCTGTAACCCTTATGGTCTTGAGCTACATCTTGGCTATTGCAGCTGCATGTTTTACTTTAATAACATATAAAATTGAAAATTAGTTGCTGAGGATGATAAGACTGGCATATAATGGAATTAAAACCTATGGGAGAATAAATAGAATGCTTTTTGTGAATGAGTAAACACTGAAGAGATAATAAGGCAAGGATACATGCATGAAATTCCCTTAATTGTTTAATATAGTTATGGAAGAATGGATAAGGAAAGTTTGTTATTATTATAAGTGTGATGATTGGGACCATGAATATATATGCACTTTTGTATTGATGTGGTTGGCTAAAGAGCTTGGATTTGAAATTGTATATATGAAAGGCTGAAATAATAGTGTTCTTCAAGAAAAAAAAGTGAAAGATTGCAAGTAATATGAAGATGTTTCCCCCAAAATAAGATCTGGTCTTATATATTTTTTTGGCTCCAAAAGTTGCATTATTTTCAGAAAAACACGTTACTGGAGATGGCGAGGGACCAGCTCGTGCTATCCTGGCCTAGCCCACCCCACCGGGCACCCCACCCCTTGGCGCATGCACTGGAGGCAGTGAATGCGTGGGGTCCGACAGTGTCTGGCAGCAGCTGCAGCCCGCCAGTCTATTGGCTGATGTGCTCTGGGGCTGCACAACTTGCACATTGCAGGTGAGTCCGAGCGCTGTGACTGCCAGGCCAGCGTCTAAGGAGCAGGTAGAGGCAGAGGCATGTGGGGAAGGCATGTGATCTGGTCTGCTGGACATGCTGCGTGGCCAACTACCCCATTGCAGCTACAGTCAAGCAAAGATAGATGGTGGGACAGATTGCATGCCTCTCTCCCTCACTGTTGTGGTCCGCTAGCAGCCAGACCTGGCAGTGGAGTCGGACAGTGAGGAGACTGGGGAGGAAAATGGGCCAGTACTGGACTCAGGGGAAGGCCTGGACAAGGGCTCTGCGTCGGAGGCAGAGATGGGGCCAGGGCCATCTGGGAACGATGTGCAGACTCCGGAGCCTCCAGAGGCGGACAGCCAAGAGACAGAAGAACAGGAGGAGCCTGTTCCTAGTGCATGCATGTGAGGAGCTGCCAGAAGACAAGAGCTGTTGAAGCAAAAAGGAGATAAGGAAGTAATGCTGGCTGGGTTTGATGACATTCTCAAAAAGAAAGAGGTGAAAAGTTTATGGAATAAAAAAGGGGTGTATGAAGTGGTGAATAGATATGGTGGAATGAAGGACGGCTTGCACAAATAGAAATACCATATTTTTTGGACTATAAGATGCACCAGTATATAAGACGCACCAAGATTTTGAAGAGGTAAGTAAGAAAAAAAAAGTTTTTTCCCTCCCCAGCCTCCAGGAGCACTCTGCAGGCCTCCCAAACCCTCTGCGCACCCCATTTTTGCGAAGAACGGGCCCATTTTTCACAAAAATGAGATGAGCGCGGCGGGGCTTCAGGAGGCCAAAAATGGCTGTATTTGGTGTATAAGACGTACCAACGTTTCCATCCTCTTTTAGGGGGGGAAAAAGTGTGTCTTGTACTCCGAAAAATATGGTATATGAAGAAGTTTAAACTCATTTTAGCTATGAGTCCTTTTCCCTTTTTTAACCTCATGCCTTTAATTTCTTTGGCTTGCTGTTTCTTACTTTTCCCCCTACTCTATATAACACTGTTGCCCAAAAAAGGAATAGCATAATGGGCATTTCTGCATATCTGTTATAATTGAATTGCACATAGTAGCAGAAATCTAAATGCTATTGCTATCAACAAATTATATTAAAAATAAACCATGATTTAGTGAAATTCTTGAACTGAGCTATGTTGGCTTGGCTTCATATACTGCTATGGTGACATAGGTAGACATGACTATTACATTAATCCAAAAGCAAACGATAAGCATTAACATAATCAGTTTTTCTCCCTATTGTCCTCCCTTACCTTGCTGGTCTCAAACGATGGTATTAGTATACACCAAAAAATGGCTGCAACTGACACCAATGTCATGATTTCTCAGACGTGTAAATGAACAGTACCTGAAGAGTGGAAGGAAAACCCAATTCTTTATAACATTATAGACCTTTAAAGATCACAACTCATCTGCTATAATGTGACAAGCTGGTTTCCTCAGCATATGTGTAATTTTGACAATACCTTCTCCTTTTAGGGCCTGAAAACCTGAAGCAATGTATCAAAAGCCAAGAACTTGCAGTATGCATGGAAGAGAAGACAAAATCAGTCTTTTCCAATTCCTTTGGCAGAGGAGTTTGACTAGAAACAATCTTGAGTTAGATTTTAAATTGCATATTATCATTTTACCAGATATTACACCTTGTGCTATTCTGCAACTAGATTAGATTTTTGGTTTGTCTGCAACAGATGTACAGTGGCTTTCAGGTATAGCAAATAATCTAATAACATTAAGAAAAAAATAAATATACAGGAAAGATCACAATTTTATTATTTCAAATTTCATGTTCTTTTAATTAAAATGGAGGCCACGCTGTAACTTATTTCCCCATGTTTACAAAACATTTCAACTACACTGTTTAAAATGCATCTTTATCTTATGACTTTAGTAGCAGTATGAACTGTGCAGCAATGCAAATTACAATTATAGGAAACAAAATATGTATTCATTCCTCAAAGTAGCTGCTTTTATTGGTAGAACCGAAGTTAATTAGTGGTCTGTCTTAATTAAAAAGCAAGCTCAAGATCCCTGCAGCTGTCTATCTGAATGTAAATAAAATAAAAGGAGCTATTAATCAGTTAGATTAGATTATCATTCACTAAGAAATGTTTGTGTAAAAATGAGCCTCCTCCAAATTCCATTTTATGGAAACATTGAAAACAAAAGTATTCTTAGCAAGATACTAGATCTTACCTATGGTATCTACAACATCTATCTTAGATGCTCTTCACTTTTACATATATTTTGGAAAGTTTCAGTTTTTAGGCAGCAAACAATCAAGCAAACAAACAAACAGCTGGACATAGAAAAGCCAGTCAAGTCACATAAAAAAACCCGCAAAACTCTTCCATCACCTGCAAAGAATGTGAATTGAATATTTCAACTATTAGACCACTCAAAGTATAGGTTCTTTGCCTGTTCTATTCATGAAGCTTTATTTCTTCACTTTATTGGAACTGCTCTGCAACCTCCCAATGCTCTTTGGACTTTGGATGGGTTCACAGCATGTTTAAAAACAAGAAACCCTTTTTTGACATCTCAAGTTGCTTGCAGTTTATGCTCTGGGGGTCCAGGGAAAAACACCCATAGATTTATAAGGAAACTTTCTTGAGACCCACGAAACTCTGCTGGGATAGATTGTATGTTATTCCATTAATCTTTAGTTTAAGTAGATAATATTAATTGCATTCCAATTTCTACTTCTACTCAACAAGCCAGCAAATTGGATTTTAATCATGTAATAACCACACAACATAAGCTGCAAAAGCTTTCCTGAATCTTACATGGAGTTTTTGATTTGGAAATGACATCATCTTCAGCCAAAACTTGAATCTGTGTTTGAGGTCAAGCTTGGACTGAAGAGGAGAGATGGGTCTGTGTAGAGACTGAAGAGATACACCTACTCTTATCATTTCTTAGAGATGCTAGAGAGAAACTGGATGACCATGTGATGGGACTGTAGTACCCATGAACCCCCATCTCTTGCCACTCTTATGATTTCTAGCTCCACCCATCCCAAAGCATATACTCAGAGGTGGGTTTCAGCAGGTTTTGACCAGTTCTGGAGAACTGGTAGTGGAAATTTTGAGTAGTAGTAAAAATTCTGACTGGCCCCGCTACCATCTATTCTCTGCCTCCCAAGTCCCAGCTGATCGGGAGGAAATGGGGATTTTGCAGTAACCCATGGATTGGACATTTGGTGGATTGGACATTTGGATTGGTGTGGGAATGGACATTTTACAGTATCCTTCCCCTGCCACGCCCACGACACCCACCAAGCCATGCCACGCCCACCAAGCCACACTCACAGAACCAGTAGTAAAAAATTTTGAAACCCACCACTGCATATACTGCAAAGAAAGACTATGTATTCCTTGTGTGTTCTGCCTGATTCTTATTCCTGGATTACTTCTTCACTAAAGCGTTTTTCTTAAGCATTTGCTAAAGTTCACACTGTTTCCTCTTTGTGGTGTAGAATACTCCAAATTTAAAGGGAAGGAGGATGAAGAGGAGGAGTCATTTCCTCCAGCTCGAGGGGGTGGGGGTGGTACAAAAAAAAGTATTAAAAAAATATAAAAAGAGGAGAAAGACACAGGAAGCTTTCTTGCGCAATGGCCAGCTTTCCGGGACTTTCCAACTTTGATGGCCAACTATAGTTTCCCCCTTCTCTCCATTTCCCCAAAAATGTGTGCATATGATACCTCTGCAACGGACGTTTCATCATTACGCAGAATATGGATTTTTTTAAAAAAAATGTAAACGAAAAGGTGAAGAGATTGTATATACGTCATGATGAAAAACACCCCTAATTAAAATAAGGGAGCCTGTTGCTGCAACTCCTGAAGGAACGGGAGCAGTTCATAGCTACTAGCATACCTACCTCTCCTGGCGCTTTGAATTCTCCTTCAAACCATACCATTTTTCAGGACACGAACCGCAGACCTCGGGCAGAGATCGGATTCTTCCAAGCTTCGCTACACCCACAGTACAACAGGTTGCTATGGAAACTGCTTCCCGTTTTCTCCCAACCAACATTGGGGTTTTTTTTTTTTTTTTAAATTCTATTAACAACGGAACAAGAGACTCACCTAGCAGCGCCCTACTAGAAACGGTCGGATCCGCCTTTCGCTGTGATTTTCTGCTGACATCACCGTAGTAGACGTTGCTACAAACCAACCAGAGCCGCTGCCGCGATTTAAAGCAATATTAATAATTTAGTCCTATTTTAAACGTTCAGTCAAACCGCTGTGCTCTGTGGATTCCAGGTTGGACGACAGAACATTTAAAGCAGACTTGTGGACTTCAACTCCCAGAATTCTCCAGCATAGCCTAGCTGGCTGGAGAATTCTGGGAGTTGAAGTCCACAAGTCTTAAGGCGAAAAGGCCGCGTAGCCTTCGCTGATGGTTTTCCAGAAGGCATTGGACAGCCTTTTGTCCGGAATGTTAAAGGGTCTCCTGCTCCAGCAGTGGGCTGGACTAGAAGACCTTCAAGGTCCCTTCCAACTCCGTTATTCTGATTTTATTCTGATATTCTGCTCCTGCCGTGATATCCAATTTTGCCGGGTGCTGCTGATGTCTTTTAACATATTTGAAAAGCAACAAGGATACTGAAACGGTCGGTGAATGCTTCTTATTCCTTACCAAGAGGTTTTACTTCTTTTCGCTGCTCTAGTTACTTATAAAAGTAATAAAGATGGTATTTTTTTTTAAAAAAAATCTAATAAATACCTTCCAATATTGAATTTGTATTTCATCAATATAATTTCAACCCATTGGTTCTGGTCCTGCTCTCCAGAGTCCAGCCTCAGGTGTGGAAGCCAGCTGGGTGATTTTGGGTCAGTCACTTTTTTTTCAGTCCAACTCACCTCACAAGACTGTTGTGTGGAAAACAGCATGTTCACCGCCTTCAGTTATAAAAATTATAAAGGCAGGATAAAAAAAAAATAAACATTGTCCAAGTAATAGCAGTATGAAAGAAGGAGAAGCTAAAATGAGAACACCCTGCCAGATGAGGAAGTAATTCGAAAAATTTTAGATTGTGCTGAAATGGACAGACTTTAAAAATAAAAATTATTAATAATAATAATAATAATAATAATAATAATAATAATAATAATAATAATAGATAAAGAAGACATGGAATATTATTTGGTATGGAATAGATTTTATGAGCGATTAGAGACTAGGTAGAAATTAGAGGAAGGAAGACTATGAATGTATTAACAATAGAGATGGTTTATAACTACAATAATCATTAGCAAAAATGTAAATAAGTCAATATAAAAAGAAACTTAGTTAAAATTATTTGGTTATATTATTACTTTTATTCTCAGTACATGTGTTATATTATTATTGCTGTTATTAGTTCTTGTGTTAATATTTATCACTATTTTCTATTTGGCTTTTTTTCCTCTTGTAAATACATTGTATTTACAATACACTGTATTCAAAAATGTTTATGAATAAAATTATTTTAAAAAAAGAAACAATAAAAAAAATGATTTAAAAGAAAAGCTGCTGAAAGCAAGGCATGTTTTGCCTTCAGATGGCGTAATTATCTCAATATATTTTACATTAACAGTAAGAATCCTGAACAGGTACATTCACTATCTGCAGGTTGCCTCTGGTTATCAAATAAATACATTTGTAACCATGAAAAAAAAAAGAGGCAGTGATGGAAGGAAATAAAATGCCATGGTCTTGGGGTCTGCAAAATAAGGTCTCTTCATCCTCCTGAACTGCCAAAGTCCAGGTAATGGAGCAGGCACCATCCAAGGCTCTACGGTCTTCCAGTGGTCACATTCAGGGGAGCCAAGATGATAATTTGTCTGTTAAAAGAGTTTGTCTTAAAACATTACCAAAAACTGAAGGGTCCTTTATTTGCCATTAAGTTCTTCATAGGTTTGGGGATCCAGTTTCAGGAATCATCTCCATCTTAGCTCAGAGGAGGAATAACATGCCAAACTAATTCCTCCTCTGAGTGACACAATTCCTCTTTAAAAAGCAGTCCTTCCTGGAGCTGTCAGTAAAAATGCTTACAAAATAAAGGTGGTTATCATGACTGATGAAAAAAAGAAGATATAACAGGAAAGAAAAATTATGCATTCCTAAAATCTAAAGCTTTCATTATGAGGCTGAGATAGATTCAAGGGAAGGGCATCCTGCTGATCCAATATAACTTTAGGGATACCTGTTCAGATTCCCATGCACTTTTGCTGAATAATCCCAACTTTACCAAAGACTTGCTTTAATGAGAGATATGCATTGATGCAATGGGAAGAAATAGAAAAGGACACCAGTGTTTATATTTTGATTTGATTTGGAGGAATTCACATAGTTTTTAGTACATTTGTATATTGATTTAGAATAATGTACTGTTATATTTTTGTATACCGTTCTTGCTTGGAGGTTTTAAGCTGCTTACTCAATTTCAAGTGGCCACACAGGAGCTAAGTTTGTATAGGCTGGGATTGTTGGAACCAAATGACTCAAATGTTTTATAAATTAAAACACAAATGTTGCACAAATTAACACATATTTTTGGATCCTCCCATTCTACAAAATGTTTAGGGAAGACCAGGGAGGCATGGGAGGGAAGGTTTGTACTTGAGGCCCTAGATGAGTTACCATCTGACATAGATTTGGATAGATAGTATGTATATTTTCTTGGAAAAAAATTCTATAAATGGAGAGCTAACACTTGTTTTTAAATTATATTAAATCTATGGGAAGTTTTAAACTATGCTCTCCAAGTTTCTTATATCTCAAAATAGCATGAAATGATTCTATTGATTTTTTTAAAAGTCATGCACTGAGGTGGTTCTAGGAAATGAAGTTCAGGCTTCAGACTTTCTTTCACATCTCCTAACTGTAGTTAATGTTGACCTAGAATATATGCCTTTGGTTGGCATCCCCATGAGTAATGTTTTAGCCAGCTTAAAATCACTTTTGGGCATACAACACCAAGGTTATATTTAGAAGTGTCTCTTCATTAAAAGCAAAGGAAGAGAGGTAGCAAAAAGATTTTAAAAAGTAGCTTGTTCTTTTCCCAACATTACAATTAGACATTAATTTCTCTCCTTTAGAATGGGATGTAAAAGTGTTGTAGAACACATTATTTGTTCACATTAGGACTTATGTTAATATTGTTATGATGATTTTTGAGGTCTTATTTTATCAGATGTAATTTCTGACGTATTAGAACACAGTTATTCAGACTACTTTTTTGTTGCTGATTTATTTTTGTACATCATGTTGAATATTTGAATGAAAATGGCTTATAAATGTTTTCGGTAAATAAAGTCAAATCCCTTGCCACATACTTCTATGTAAACAATGGATAATATTTTTTTTCCAGATCTGTGCTTAGTAACCAGCTGTTGAGATATATTATAATGTATCCTAGACATAATTGGGCTATAAAATATAGATGATTATAGAAACAACAAAGAGATGCAGAAAACTCTTAATGGCTTGCAATATTTACTGGATTTCAGCAGCCCCCACATATGGTATAGCTAGCATTTATTTTATGAATTTAGACTCCGTTTTTATGCATTCTCTGAACTCTTGAGTGATTGATAACCCTTTCTGCTAAAAAGTTATTGAATCATGCCTGACATCTGTGATATTGTACATACTTTCTTTAATGAACAGATGCTGCATAGTAACAAAGACTGATAAAATCTGCCAGAGATATTTTAAGAGATAAAGTAGATCATTTAATACATAAATATTTTTGCATGCGGAAAAAATACTGTCCAACCTTCAAAATCTCTTGATAGTGTCTTTTGCATCTGAGTGACCATTACAACATTACATTTCACCATTACATACTATTAATACTACTTCCCTTTAATTGGTGGCATAAATCTGGCTGCTACAAGTACCATCAAAACAAATTTCAATGCAATGTCCCATACATTTGGGCAAGCGGTTGGTTGATGTATTGTAAAACAATTATGACCCATGTAGGCCATATCCAAATGCATGCAGGAAATTTTCCATTAAGTCGAGTTAAATTTTATTTTGCATATTGCATGTCACTCTTTGAACTGATATTAAAATCTAAGGCTATATTTCTATAAATGTCCTTTGATAGTAGAATCCAGTTCTACATACTGGGATAAACTGCCACATGTAGAAGGGCAATTTCCTTTGCGCTAAATAATCCACTTTCCTTCCTGTGAGATAAATCTTGAAGCAAAGGATTTTCAATAGTTAACATGTGCAAAGTATTCTTTGTTTGCATATGCAATTGTATGAACAGCAATGGCTTCATCTGTTCAATGTACTTTGAAAATTGAGATCTAACCTAGGCAGCAATTAAGCTGTCTCCAAAGCAAAGAAATACAAGAATCTGTATAACCTCTTGATTGTTTAAAAATCTGCATGTGAAAGAGGCACCCACAAGCTTCTTGGTTTGGTCCCTTTAGGAGACTGGGAAGCACAGAACTCATACTTGTGATGGGTTAACCATGGCTTACCATTAACTATGATAGTGCTAAAAAAATATCTGTCCATATTTCTTTGGTGTAGTTAACTATCCTGAAAAAAAATCCTTGAAGAAAAAATCTGTAAGAATTTATGAGCCAAATACTATTACTCCTTTTTGCTGAGTTAATTTCCCTTATTGCATTTCTATCTTTAGTGCCAACTTTTCAAACTAGCATGTTACACATAGATCCAAGCCACTTCTCTGTAGGTATTTTGCAACAGTGAAGGATCATATATTGGCATACAGTCAACGGAATGAAAAGGATGTTGCTGTTATCATTCCATTAATAATACATCCAACTTGAGCTAAAAGCCAAGCCACAGGTTAGTAAGCAATAACGAATAAATGCATGCCACATTTTTATCACCAAACCAGACCAATGCTTGGCAGATTATAGAACCCAAAGTTGCAATTGTTTCTCACTTTTAGTTATTCTAGAGTTATTTTTTTCCTTACAGCAACAAATAAAGCAAGTGGCAGCCTCATAGATGGAATCTGCAGCCAGCAGCTTGCTTCAAATGCAGCATATTCTCTTGGGTAGACTGAGGAGGACAACAAGCAAACCCAATCAGAAACAGCAGGTGCAAGATATTTAAACTACAGATTTGGGGGTCTGTATTGGCGAACAAAATTTTGCCTAGCTAACCAGCAGCTGCAGCTCACACCTAAAAAGGTCTAGCTTAGCATCTTGTGCCGATCAAACACAGTCTTCCGCTGTTCCTGCACCTGACGCTTCCACCTTTCCTGGGCTCCTTCCACTCTCTCCAGCACTGTATTTGTTCTGGCATTGGCTGAAGGACGTATAGCTGTCAAGGAACAGGGATCCTGCAGTAACAGAAGAAGAAACATCTCAAAGAAAAAGCATTTCAGATGCGCAGTAGTAACGCTCCACCTTGGGCTACAAAGACAAATCAAACTATTTTTAAAACAGAATGGACAGGTATATTATATTCATGCACACTGAAAATAGCAAGATTAAACTGCTCATCATTAATGACAGAAAATATCCCAAGGTAGCTATATTACTGCAGTATGCTTCAGATTATGAAAAATGGTTAGTTACTTTCTATAAAAACAAATGCAAAGGAATTACAATGAAATGTCTGGGTAACATTCTGTCTACCAAAAATATAAATTTCCATACTCAATATAATCATGTTATATTGCACTGTTGTCGTATATCTTAAAGCAGAAGTAGGAGATATTTCTGAAATATAATTCCCAGCTTTCTCTCTGTCTTGATCATAACGAGCTGTAGTTCAGAAAAATCTAACAGCCTTATTTTAGATACTGCTTCAGCGTTCTAATTCAAATGAATGAATGAAATACAAAATAAAATCCTTTGGTTTTGTACTATGGCTTAATGTGAATTGTGTTGTTTCAGGAAACATAGTTAACAGGATTTTAAAATATTTTCTTCAAAACAAAATATGCTCGCATTTATTGTGCGTGAACTTCAAAGATGCAATCCACAATCTAAAATGAGAACCTAGAAAGAATTCCAATTCCTTTATGTCACTAATTGTTTAAAGGTACCTTCTCTAACCCAGTCACCTCCAGACTTCAGAAAGCTGCAATCTCAACTTATCTGCAGTGTTTCAGCTTGGAAATGTTAGTTCTGAGTGCTGACTATAGAAACAGATTTTGAGGCATATCTTAAACCCTCTTCATGCATTATGCTGTCTGGAAAGGATGAAGATGCGTGTGCACTGGGGAGAAGGGTATCTAGAGGGAAAGGGCTGTATACTGAACAAGGTACCCTCTGTGGGTGGGAAGGCTTCAATCACTGCATACAAAAAACGTTATGTGAACAAATATGTGAATAAGTGAATAAACATACATGGAGGTTTCTACATACCAATCACTTTGTTCTGTAAAGTGATTGGTATGTAGAAATCTCCATTACTGAACACATAGATTTAAAGGTCTGATTACTGCCAAGCGTTCCAGAATCTCAGGCTTTCCAAAATTATTAGCTTTTAATTCCCACAATCTATTAAGTGGGGGAGTGTGGGAAGCAATGTACGGAAGACACCAGATTCAGGTAGTCCAAATGGAAAAAGGAAACCTGTTTAAAGAACATCAAACTCACCTCTGACTCTTCTTCATTGTGTAGGGGCTGAGTATAGGCATCAGGTTTGCGGATAAAAGGGTCAACTACCATTAAAAAGACCATGTAGAGTAGAAGAGCTCCAATCACTGAGAGATAAATGATGATGATAATCTGCATGAACACAAAATGTCATCAAAGATCCAGGATAAAAGAACATATTTTGAGCAAAGCATCAACATCTATATTGTAATAGGGGAAATCAGCTAAAAAATTACCAGTGCTAGAAAGGATAAGATCCAAATAAGGACAAAGATACCAAGTTGGATTTCCCCAATCTGATGCCTTTTCAATCTGCTGAAAGTATATGCAGTTATGCAGATTCGAAATTCTGCATTGTCCGAAGACATCAGATTTAAGAAAGGATGAAGAAAATAACACCTTTCCCAGCAAAGTTAAACAGTCCAAAACCAAACATTTACATAACCAAAACATGACTAAAATTATTTCCTTGATCTCTTAAGGAAAAATCTAAGATATGATTCTCAAATGCAGCTTTCACTACAAGGTAATATCTATATGAGAAACACTAATCAGGAGAACTACCAATGTAGACACTCTTGCCTCAATCTCACAATGCTAATTTCCTTGTGAGTATATTTTCAGATTCTCTTTTTAGTTTCTTTGACGGTTGTCAACAGCCAAAATTCTTAGTTCTATACAGTGACAACAGAGAAAGCTGGTGTAAGAGACAGATTGGTATTTTACCTTGATGGTCGTGGTGCTTCGTTCTTCATACTTGCACTCACACAACAGGCAATATGCCTCAACATCATGCCCTGGCACTGGCATAGGGTCTACCACATGCAGGCAGTTACTGTAGTTGTGAGAAACAAGAAGCAACAATGGGCATTAAAAACCTTTTATCATATGGAATCATTTTGAGACTGTTATTACATCACTAAGTTAATTCCCTTGACAGATATACAAATAGATAAAATGTACAGGATGAAAGCATCCAATTGATCAGACAGAAAGCATGAGACTAGTTCATTTCACTGTCTTCCTATACTGAAGACCAGTTTTAAAACCAGCTTTTTAGAACAATCACATCTTGCAAACATTCTATGAGCTTTGAGAATCTTTTCTGAAATTTGTCTCACCAATCTTTCTGTGATACATTGTTCTTGTAAATCTGTCCTGTTATATTACGATATGGCGGGCAGACACACTTGCAGCGGATGTCTTCAAATGTCTATAGAAGAAAAATAGGATAGAAGTAGAATAAGCAATATGTGTGATCTCACTGCAAAGTAAAGTAGCTAACGATACTCTTTCCAGTCATGTTATATTGTGCTGGAGAACCTGTGATCCTTCGTATTTTCTTGACCTACATCTTGGTTGTTAAAACTGTTAAGTTTTACTTCAGTAATATTTATTTATTTATTTATTTATTTAAGAAAATTTGTATGGCTGTCTACTCACTCTCAGCGACTCTGGACAGCTTACAAAAATAAAAATCCAATATACAAAGAATAAAAAACAATGCCCTCCCCCAGCAACAACAATCAATCAAATAAGCCACTTGATGAGCTCCATCCCACTCTGGGTTCCACAGACCCTTTGGCAAAACCAGGTCCTCAGGGCCTTGCAAAAGAATGTCAACGTGGAGGCCACTCTAATCTCCACAGGATGCTCTAAAAAGAGGGAGCCACCATGAAGAAGGCCCTTCTTCTGGGCCCCACCAGATGTACCTCCTTAGGAGAGGGGACCCACATTTGCTGACTCCCAGCTCTGATAGGTCAGATGGATGTAACTGGGAAGAGACGGTCCTTCTGATAACCTATCCCCAAATCATGTGGGGATTTTGTAGGTGACAACCAGAATCTTGAATTGTACCCAGAAGCAGATCGGTAGCTAATGAAGCTTCCGCAGGAGAGATGACACCTGTGCACATCTACATCTGCACAAAACAACATGGGTCACTGCATTTTGAACCAATTGGAGCTTCCAGATTCTTTTCAAGACCAGCCCCATGTACAGGATATACAATAGTCAAGACAGGAGGTTACTGGGGCATGATTAACTGTGAGGACGGATCATTGGTCCAGGAAAGAGCATAACTGATGCACAAGCCACAGCTGCACAAAGGCCCTCCTGGCCATGACTGCTACCTGCTCCTTGAGCAGCACTTGTGAGTCCAGAAGAACCTCCAGATTACACACTGGATCTGTCTGTGGCAGTGCCACCCCTTCCAAGACCAAAGATGGCAATTCTCCATGGACCAAAGTACCACAAACCCAGAGTCATTTGGTCTTTCCAGGAATCAGTTTCAGCCCACTGCTCCCCATCCAGCATATAAAATTGAATGTTAATTGCTGAGGGCAATAAAATTGGTATATAATGGAATTAAAACCTGTGTGAGAATAAATAGAATGTTTAGTAAATGGTTAAACACTGAACAGGGAATAAGATAAGGATAGAGATTTCCTTGTATGTCATATCCTTGATTGTTTAATGTATTTATGAAAGAAATGGATAAGGAAAGCTTGACATTAGAGATGTGATGATTGAGGCCATGAACATACATGTACATTTGTATTTAATAATATCGTGTTGTTGGCTGATAGACTATATGATACAATGAAGAGCATGGATCTGAAAGTACATATGAAGGCTGAGATAATTGTGTTTATCAAAGAAAATAGAGTGAAAGATTGCAGACTATATTCAGATATCAAAAAAATTACAGCAAGTAAATGAATTCAGGTTCGTGTGTAGAAATTAATCCATACACAAACATTTGATTTTATTATAAACTAATTTTTTTTCTCTATTCTCGTCCCTTACCTTGCTGGTCTCAAATGATGGTATTAGGATACACCAAAAAATGGCTGCAAGTGACACCGATTTCATGATTTCTCAGACGTGTAAATGAACATTACCTGCAGGGTGGAGGGAAAACAACAGAACATTTATAACATTATAGACATTTAGATATCACAACTCATCTGGTAGAATGTGACAAGCTGGTTTCCACAAGATATGTATAATTTTGACGATACCTCCTCCTTTTAGGGCCTGGAAACCTGAAGCAATAAAATCATGTATCAAAAGCCAATAGTTCACAACAGATTTGGAGGTTGCACACGAACTTATAGCGTGTGTAAAAGAGAAAATCAGCCTTTTCCTATTCCTTGTGCAAAGGAGACAATTTCAATAGAATCAGTCTTGCATTAGATTTTAAATATAACTCATTACATATTACCATTTTACCATGTTACACCTTGTGCTTTTCTGCAACTAGATTAGATTTTCTACAAAAGATGTACAAAAGGGCCCAGCAGAGATTATACTATCTGAGACTTCTCAGGAAACAACAACTGAATGAAAAACTGCTGGTGGGCTTCTACCGCTGCACCATAGAGAGTATTTTAATTTACTGCATCTATGTATGGTTTGCAAATTGCATGGCAGATAGGACAGCATTTCAGATGGTCAATGTCATTGCCCAGAGGATCATTGGTTGCCCTCTCCCCTCTTTTGAAGAGCTTTATAGCTCCCGCTGCCTTAAGAAAGTTCAAAACATTCTTAAAGATCCATGTCATCCTGGGCACCCTTTTTTTGGAACTATTACCATCTGGCAGATGATACAGGATAATAAAAACAAGGACAAAGAGAATTGAATTCTATGGTATAGTGCAATATCGGGTTTTCAATTTCAATTATATAGTATGTAAAGGATGTATGTTCGTGTTTTTATTTTTATAGTTATAATGTACACTGAAGACGGCATTTAATTTCGTTGTACCATGTGCAATGACAATAAAGTAAAGTAAACATTCAGTTTCAGTTCAGAATACATAACAAATAAACTAATAACAGTAAAAGAATATAAAGACAGGAAATATGAATTCATTTGAATCACATTTTCACACTTCAAAATTTCATATCCTTGCAAGTAACCTGGAGGCCACAGTTTAACTTATATCCCATATTCACCAAAGAATGAAACTTTTTAGCTGCATCTTATCACTTTAATAGTGCAGTAATGAAAATTACAATAGCAGGAAAGAAATGTGTATTTTTTTTTCAAAAAAGCTGCTCTTAATGGTAGAGTCGAAGTTAATCAGTGGTCAATCTTGATGAAGGTTGAGATCCCAGCAGCTATCTCTCAAAATGCAAATAAAAAATAAAAAAGAGCAATAAAGTTAGATTAGATCATCTTTTACTAAGAAAAGTTGCATAAAAATGAACCTTTTCCAAGTTCCATTTTACTGAAACATTGAAAAGCAAAATCATTTTTAGTAAGATACTTGATCTTACATATGCATATCTACCACATATATAAATATCTACCACATCTATCTTAGGTGCTCTTCACATTTACACATATTCTGGAAAGTTTCAGCTTTTAGGCAGCAAACAATCAAACACCTGGACACAGAAAAGCCAATTCAGTCACATAAAAGAGACCACAAAATTGTGTCAGCTGGAAAGAATGTGAACTGAATGCTTCAGTCTTAGACCACATCAAGGGCGGGTTCATTTTCTGTTCTGTGACATTTCAAATTGCTCTCAGTTTATACTCTGGGGGATCCAGAGCAAACATCAATAGATTTATCAGGAAACTCTCTTGAGAGCTAAGAAAGCCTGCTGGAGCAGATTGTACTTATGTAAGATATGTCCAAGTTATTCCTGGATGCCTGAGAAGCTCTGAATCTTAAGAGGAACTCAAAGGAATCATACTGAGTTTGATAAAACTTCTGAAGCATATCTAATGCATACATACATACTTAATAAGTTACCCTTCTACAGTATTTGGATAAGATTTTGCATAAATGTAAAGATTCCAAAATAATCTTCCCCTTCCTATGCAGTGCCTGGTATAGACTTCTTCATAAGACAAAGTGATGATGGTTAGTACCATGTTTCCCTCCAGCGTGCAGTACCGTAACAATTGAATAATATCACCTGGAATAAAGGCTGTATATAATGAACCCCACTTCTTATGCAATCTGTAGACTCTTTTTTGATTGCCAGTGCAATCTTCCAATTATCAAACTCACTGCTATATTTCCCACTGGGAAATACTTGTTGCACAAACTGCCAGAAGTCTGGCAGATTCAGAAGTCTCCAGCTATATTCTTTCTAGCGCTATGAGGTCTAACCAAGCCATTCTGACATCACAGCTACCTATCCAAGCCATTTTAACATCATTCTATTTTGTGACAGTCCAGAGAATGCTTTGCAATTTGTACCCAATTTGGTTGGATAAATATGAAAACCAAAGTTCTACTCTGATACTGTAATTACCCTATCTGGAAAAAGCATAAATGAGGAATGGCACGTATTAATTTTTTGTTTATGTTCATCAGAATGGGAATGAAATGAAATTCACAGAAAAACTGCATCATTATGAAGAGATGAAGCATTTCAAATTTCATAGGAACTGATGCAAGAATTATCACGTTTGGGTTACATTGTGATTTTTTTATCTAGCTGCTTTGTTTAAATTTTTTGTATACTGTAATTTACTTATTTTATTTACTTTTTAATACTGGTAGCTACCCATTCATGTATTTGAGATGAGCAGCCATATAAACTGATTGGGGTTTTTTTTGAAAAAAAAAATACAAAAGTAAGATACACAAACCTATGCTTATACAAACCATGGATATTTCAACATTTCCAAAGAACCCAGTAATATTGTCTTTCCCGAATACTGTGTTGAAGTGTTACGTAGCCATCTTTGAGCTGGCATAGAATGCCAGTATAAATATTGCTGTCCTCATTGCCAATCTCAGCTTTGCTGCCATCCAGGTTGGTAAAACGAGGTTGGTAAAACGAGCATATTGTTGGAGGCAATATGCTGACTCTGTAAACCGCTTAGAAAGGGCTGTAAAGAACTGTGAAGTGGTATATAAGTCTAAATGCTACTGCTATTGCTATCCCCTTCTAGCATATCCCCAGCCAGCAGGGAATACATCTACCAACTAGGGAACTATGTCATGAATGGGAAAGGCCTGACTTCAGCAGTTTCTCAGCTCTTCCTTCCATCTCTCTCTTGGGTCCTCCCAACTTAAGATATGGGAAGTACAAGGTAGATATAGTTGTATTATTCAAGTTATTAGGTGTTGTAACCAGGAAAAAACTAAAATGGATTAGTTATTGGGTAACAAAGTCTCTTATCTTAAGAAAAGGAGAAAGGAGTGACTGACATATTCACTCAGTTGTGTTAGTGATTTGGGTTTGCTGCTTCTTGAGTGCTTTGTATTTTAATTTTTGTAATGATTATAATTGTTTTTATGTTATTTAAGTTCTCTTCATTGCCCAGAGTCACTCCACAGCTGTCATACAATCCCAGAAAAAAATCCCTTTAGTTTTAAAGTTGTGAACAAATTCCGTGTTTTTACTACCAGTTATTGTGTCTTCGGATCCAATGTGCTATAGCTCAACATATGAATTATATAAATACAACCTTATCTACAGGGTCAAAATAGGATAAGAAAGATAATGCTAATGATGTGGGTGAAAAACATCTACATTAATTCATAAAGCTTTGGTCTAAGATGATAGTTTTAAATGTATTCCAATTTCTACATAAGTTCAAGAAGTCACCAAATTAGAAATCAATCATGTAAGTAGTCCTTGACTTACAACCACAATTGAGTGCAACATTTTCATTGCTAAGCGAGGCAATTGTTAAATGATTATTTGTCCCATTTCACCAACTGTTTGCCACAATTGTTAAGGCAAATCACTATAGTTAAATGAATTTTGCAGTCATTAAGCAAATCTGGTTTCTTTGTCTTTGTTTATTGGAAGCTGGCTGGGAAGGTTACAAATAGTGACCACATAACTCAGGAACAGCACAATTATAAGAAATACATGCCAGTAGCCAAGCACCCAAATTTTGATTATGTGACTGTGGGGATGCTGCAACCATCATAAGTATGAAAACCAGACACAATTCATGTTTTCAATTCGGTTGTAACTTTGAGCTGACACTAAACAAATAGTTGTGAGTCAAGGACTATGTATAGCCACACAACCTAAGCTGGAAAAACTTTCCTGAATCTCACATGCAGTTACTGATTTGGAAATGAAACAGTTACAGTTTGAGTTCTATATTTTAAGTCAAGCTCAGACTGAAGAGGATGGGTCTGTGCAGGGACTGAAGTGATACATACCTACTCCAATCATTTTTAGAGATGTCTTGAGAAACTGGGTGACCATGTAATGGGAGTACCCATTAACAGACATCTCCTTAAAATCCCAAAGGTGCTTTTTCAAAAGGCAACTGGACTTTCTTTCTTTTCCCCTGAAGACGTTTCGCTTCTCATCCAAAAAGTTTCTTCAGTTCTGAAGTTTCTTGGATGAGAAGGGAAACATATTCAAGGAAAAACAAAGGAGGTCCAGTTGCCTTTTGAAAAAGCACCTTTGGGACAACCATGACCTGGATGACTTAAAATCTCCATATATATTCTTCACTAAAGCATTTTTCTTAAGCATCTGCTAAAATTTACACTCTTTTTCCTCTTTGTGGTGTAGAGTACTCCAAATGTAAAGGGAAGGAAGATGAAGAGGAGGCATTTCCCCCTGCTGGGGAGGAGGAAGGGAAAGAAAAAGCATAAACAGAGGGGAAAGAGACAGGAAGCTCTCTTGCGCAATGCCCAGATTTCCCAGAATGTCCAACTTTGATGGCCAACTAGTTTCCACCTCCTCTCCATCTCCCATAAAAGTGTGCATGTGATACCTCTGCAACCGACTTAATTTTTCTTCGTTAGGCAGAATTTGGATTGTGTTTTATCTATGTAAATGAAAAGGTGAAGAGATTGTATATACGTCATAATGAAAAACATCGGTAATTAAAATAAGGATGCCTTTTGCTGCAACTCCTGAAGGAACGGCAGCAGTTCATAGCTACTACCTACCTGCCGATCACCTTCTCCTGGCGCTTTAAATTCCCTTTCAAAGGATACCATTTTTCAGGACACGAACCACCACAGAAACACGCAGATCACGGGCAGAGATCGGATTCTTCCAAGCTTCGCTACACCCACAGTACCACAAGCTAAGGAAACCGCTCCCCGTTTTCTCCCAACCGACATGGGATTTTTTTATGCTATTGGCGACGGAACAAGAGACTCACCTAGCAGCGCCGGCTCCTAGAAACGGTCGGATCCGCCTTTCGCTGTGATTTTCTGCTGACATCACCATAGTAGACGTTGCTACAAACCAACCAGAGCCGCTGCCGTGATTTAAGGGACTATTAATAATTTTCAAGCCTTTTATTAACAAGAAAAAAAAAAGTCATGACTGCGCTCTGTGGATTCCAGGGTTGACCGCAAAATATTGAAGTAGGAGAGGCGAAAAGGCTGCGTAGCTGTTCCTCAGGATGTGGGGTTAAGAGACACGCAATGTCGTTTTACCGATTTATTCTAGAACGAGAGTCCTCTACGTTTGCTCAAACAATTTGGAGAATAACTTCAGTGCTAGCTTTTCATTGCCTGTAAAGAAGTGCTTGGCATTTCGGGTTGTTTTACATGCGTCCTTGCCTTGCTACCTTTGAGCACCATCACAACAGCAAACGGAGACATTCTTAGCAGTGCCAATGAATATGTGCAGAATGCTTTCCCCCACTATAAGCCATCCTTTCTTTCGATGAGGCCGCTATGTTGGCATATAATCAACGCCCATGGATTTTCTGATCCCCCTCCCCATCCGATTTAGATTGTACAGCAATTTTTGGGGGGGGGGAGTAAAAGGAGACTAATGTTGGCAAATGCATTGCATTGCCTAGGGCCGTTTTCCCCCCCTTGTCGATTAATCATCTAAATGCATATAAACTTGGTTCCAGTTGTGAAAAAAAAACTCATAAAATATGAGTTTGCCTTTGAAATATAAATATACAAATTTATTTAAATATATATATTTATATATTTATATTATATATATATATTATAAACATAATATATATTTATATGCCTTTGTACATCAGCAGTTTTACTTTAACCGGAATCAACTTGTCTTAAATTAACCTGTCTTGAGAGTTTGATTAAAAGGTAGAAAGAACAGCATTTAATTAAAGGAGTATCAGGGAAGAAAAGTTAAAATAAAAATACCCGCATATTCTCCCCTTCTCCCCCAAAAAGCAATAAATTGTTCGATGCTGCAATCAGTAGTCATTTTGCAAATTCTCCTCAATTTCATTCCATTGCCTGCGCTGCAACCGCCTGGCTTTTCTCAAATTGCTTACAGTGAAATTGGCCGGATGTGGCGTCAGCAAAAACAGCCGGTAAAATAAGAGCCGGCAAGTCTGGACACAATGGCTGCTGCAGTGGATTGCATTCTGAAATTAGGAGGTAGTGCATTGACGCAGAAAAACCAGTTCGAGACGCTGAAAACGGAGTCCTTGCGGAGGGCGGCTATTCTTGTTTCGTTGCTCTGGGAGGCTGGAGAGAGACGATGCATAATCGTGCACGGCGCAGGGTAGGAACGCATGCGAAGTAGCGGAAGGCTTCTGCCCTTGAGCCAGGATGCCAAATGGGCGTCATCGGTTCCTCCTGGCGTCTCGGGATAGATTAATATCCTAATATTTAGTAATTAATTTAAAATTAATCAACAAAACTGAAGATTTTATTTTTGAATTGGTCCAGTCTTATCGAATAACCGTAATCAAGATCCAAGCATCTAATAATACAATTTCTCATGTGACTCTGTGGCTGGAAGTTTTGTTTGCTTGCCAATAAATTACTGCAAGGGACATGAACTACTTCCTGCGACTAAACTCAGCAGCTCTAATTTAATACATATGAAATAAGGTATATTTTATATATAACATATGCAATGTTTGATCTACATCCTCCTAATGACTGATATCCTATTTATTTAATAAACCCATTTACCATGTGTTTGAAGTGAAAGCAAATATTTATCATGGCAAACAAAGAATTGAGTGAAAGCGCCTTGGTTTTGGTCTTTCAAATACCTCATAGTGGAATATTTTGTGGATATTTCCTGAGAGATAAATATTTCTTTAGGAGGCAGTTGCATAAAGAGAATTGAGATGCCTCTTCATTGCCATCTTGTCCATTGGCATATCAGGTGCACTTTCAGAGTTCTAAAAATCTAGGCAACCAATGGAGAAAAGGAGGAGGAAAGTCACTCTGGTACTCCTGAGACAGCAGGAGAAAAAAAGACTGCTGGAAATTAGGCAACAGCATGAAGGTTTTGTCAGGCACAAGGCCCAGAAGAAACAGCTCCATGCCCAGATAGTTACACTCCTCACCATGCATTAAGATGTCACATATGGGGCCAGAGTTGGCACCTGCACCAGTGGCTCTGCCATGTTTCTTCTTGCTATGGATTTAGGGAGAAAAGTACAGCCATAAACCTGTACAGAACAGGCAAAGGTAAGGCTGCACTGAGGTGTTTTCACTGTCCAAGGTTGGAGTCCACAAATCATTGTTTTGACAGTGGTGGTGGCTGTGATTGCAAGGCTAGGAATGCAGTTGCCTTTTAGGCTGCAATGCCTAGGAACAGAGCTTCATGTTAGTGACTAACCCAAGGGAGGATTCATAATGTATGTTCATGATTACTGTACAGAGGGGCTGGCCAATATCTGTGCCTCGCTCTTCTGTTGGTTACATGTGGACTGCAAAAGATTATTTATTTATTTGTTTTAATTTGTATAATTTGTATAAAAGATGACAGGGCCACCTGTGGGCCAGAAATTTAAGATCCCTAATATACATTTACCAACTTTCTTTTTAAATGTTCCTTTGCAGAATTGACTTTTCTCTGATATGTGTCAAAATAATTTTATTTTCTGGGTCACTAAAGCTTAAAATGATGTCTCCTTGTCTTTTTATCCTGGTGTGGTAGTAAAAATATAAAAAAAATATGTTAATTAACATTCTTAAAATGTATAATCCTGTCAAATGATAAGTGCAGTCTGCTTGTTATTGTGTGGTATTGCAACTAAATGAAATAAATAAATGAAATAAATGGATACTTCAGGTATTTTAAGTTATATTTAGCACATGATCTGTTTGTTTACTGGCCTTGAGTTTCCTCCTATTGAAATTTACTTCTTGAATAAACTACACAAAGTGGTGGATTATCTGGTATTTTGTTCCTTGTTTTATGGCACAGGATTAATGGTAGCAAAGCTCCTGAAATAAAAGAAAGAATTAACTTGAGACCTTTATAGAAATTGCAAACTGCAAATTATGCCCTGTAATCCCAGAATCAGTTGACATGGAAAGTGAGAAGAGGTGGTGCTGGTGTCAAATTGAAGTAGTCATTCCAAGCTTGAGTTGGGTGGGATCATAACAAGGATTTTGATGACATTCAACTCTATTTCTCAGTTAGATCTGAAACTACAGAAGTTTAGGCAGATTTAGATCAGGACGTAGGACAATAAATTGAAACTAAGTGAAACAGGGATATCGGCCAATAAAGGCAAACAGAAGAAATGAAGCTTTTGATAGGTTGTCCCTAAATGTATTTATTTGAAGGAATGGGTTAGGGTTAGAGTTAGGGTTAGGGTCTAAACAGATATATTTATGAAATAGCTTTGATGAAGTAAATTGATTATTTTCCTCATCCAGATATGTTGAAACCTGATCAAGAAGGAAGACCAATTTGGTTTATCCAAGATGAAAGATTGTCCTTGACAGTGGGAAATATTCTGAAATTAATTGATAATTATTGCATACCTTCAAATTAATATCTTTCTGACATCTTGCAAGACTTGGTCAAGAGACTGAAACTGAACCCTGGTAGATTGGTGGATAGCAACTTCCAGATTATTCCTCTGGCTCTAATACAGTTCAAGGACATGTTATACATTGTATTCTTCACCTTATCATTTGACAATTCTGTTATTAATATTGCCACTTACACTTTTGTTTTATCTATGGTGCATAATTATGTTGTGTTAAGAAAATCTATGGTTGCTATGAGTTGACAGTGACTTGATGGCACATAATCATCAAAAGCCTTGCCAAGCATTATGAACCTGGAATACTTGCTATGTGAGCAATTCAGATAATTTCCTTCCTTCTTTCCTTCCTTCCTTTCTTCCCAACAGTCACCCTAATAAATTCATCTTCTTCCCTAGAGGAGAGAAATAGTTTGATATGAGCTGGAATCCTGATATTGCACAATTTTGATGTCTGAGTGAGTCAGTGTACAAACAGCCACATATGTATAACACATTTCTTGAAATGCTACACATATAACTAAATACAAGATGTAGCCTAGCCTTTTTATGCAGGACTAAATAAATAGTCTGATTTAGTACTCAAGTCTTGAAAGGGCCATCCAGAAGAAGTATTGATCCATAAAATTACCTTTGTGACAGTTTCTTTCTTTCTTGTCCTTCTGAAGTCCCAAGCTAATGAATATGAAGAGATAACTGTTACCTGGCCTGAGATTCAGGAATATATTATCAACTGTTCATGTTTTGTATTGTTCTTAGGTAAATTTGTACATTTTTTAATTGGGTGAAATATAATTATGAAGTCTGAAATTCCTAGTTTAAAATCTGGAATTTTCTGTGATGGTTTTGCATCTTTGCTAATTTAAATGGGCATATGGATAAGATTTCCCAGAGAAATTATTACATATTCATTAGTTATCCAATATCCAGCTTTTTCTTGCTTATTGTGGCATGACCTTTTATAGATAGCCTCCATCATGTCAGAGTATTGACCTAAAGGTACTTCATTTGTTTTAATAAGAATGAAGTTTCATTTCCAGCAGGTGGCAGCAGTTGTCATCTTTGATAAAATACATTGCTGTTATTTCAGCAGAAAGATGGAAGAAAAAAGACTATCACCACCTAGTGGATAGATTCAGTGGGAGTAGTGATGAGGACAGCATTGGAAGAGCTGAAGGACCAAGTTAGGGACAGATCAGCAAGGAAAAATAAATGGTTGCTAAGAGTTGAAAATGACTTGATGGTACATAACCATTAAAACCCCTGCTCAGGCCTTATGAACCCAGAATATTTGCTGGTGAGAAATTCAGATAACTTCTCTACTCTTTCCCTTGCTGTCAGTGAAATCAGAGTTGAAACTGTTTGATATGACCCAGGATCCCCATATTGCAGACTTCTACGCTCTCAGGATTCAGTGTGCATATAGCCAAACATGGCTTTCTTTCTGCACACGTTTGCCTTAAACATGCAAATTCTGCAGGGCAATTAGAATCAATGGGCATTGGAGATTAATAGAAATATTCAGATGTTCAGTGTTCTGGCTGCATGAATAGGTCTAAAGACCCAAAGGAATCCACAGACAGTGCAGTCCTATGCATGTCAGAAGTAATTCAGTGGGATTTATTCCCAGAAAAGCATGAATAAAATACAGGCTAAGAAGTAATGGCATAGTCTGATAGGAAGGTGATTAAAACTTTGTAAAAGTTGGGCAGAATTTGTTTACTCCTCTTTGATTCTGGCAGAGTTTTCTGATCACTCATGGAATTATTGAATCAGAATATTCACATTTGCCTGGAAGGTCTGAAGGGGCACTGTATTACGGTGGTTTGAACTTGACCACTACTCTCTGACTGATCCAGATTGTACGACGGCCCCAAATCACATGCTTTAATACGTGAATGCTTTAAAAGGTTTGTAGGAACTACAGCATGTAGAATTTACCAGCTACACTGGCAGTGGATTCTGGTAGATGTGGTCCAGGCTGCTAAACCTGGAGAACAA